TGTCCTAACTGGATTCTTCCTCTTCCTCTTCCTGTGTTGTTGGTGTTGGTGCCCTTGCGGGCCTCCCAGTGTCAGTAGCACCTAGATCTGCAGCCCTTGCCCTGGATCTACTCCTTCTTGTTAGTCCAGTGTCAATGCCCAGCACTCTGTTCCGTGCCTCAATACAAGGTTGATAGGCTTGTATGTGACTTGATAGAGCTGTCTGGTTCTTAAACCAATCCTCACAGTACTCACAACGATACCAAACCATTTGTAGATAGGTACAAATCAACTGGTAGCTTACAGACGTTACTTTAGCATATAGACGTACTAGACACCGTCAAAAATGTGGCTTCTGAGGTTCCAAATTGACAGTTTCTGGGCTCTGGAGTGGCTCGATCTTATAAAATGAGATTGTACTTAGCAATCCGTAAACTCGTCCTGGTGCATTCTGTATGTAGTTTGCCTCCTAAATACATACGCATACCTAAGTAACCGAAAGGGCACGACTGGGTTGGCAAGGTCGTGGCTGTATGTTATCATGCATGCTACCTTACAAATCAGGAGCTCGTCGGATCCGGTTGGATGACCTCACCTTCCGAAACTGCTGAATTACTACCAAAGCTTTAACCAGCGACATCACGATTTTATATGCCAAACACGTGGAATGGTATAGTAGGGGTGCTCCCGTTTTCGCGCTACTAAAAATGCGCTTCTTAGATGCTCAAGTCCAACAAGGACTTCGACCAATGGTACAGCGTGTTTATAACAACGGCTAGGGCACAGCGATTCTATGCTCTCTTTGACTCCAATTATGTGCCATCGGACCAGGAATCCGCTTTTGAGCTCCGTAGGATGACTGAATGGTTCTATGCGGTCCTGCAGAAAATCATCAAGACAACCAAGGGCAAGGTGATAGTCAAGGAACATTTTCATGATTGTGACTGCTTTCATATTCTACATGCATTGATCCAGGATGCCCACACCTCTGTAGAAGGTACACTGGAGTCTGTGGAGACCCTCAACCGGGTCACCAGGGTCAAATACTCCACAACCAAGGGTTCTGCAGTGGAGTTCATCATCCACTACGATGAAGTTCTCACACGATACAATGACTCCAAGACCAACGCGCAGGATAAACTCAGTGATAGTATCCAAAAACTGTTCCTACAGCAGGCGTTCATCGACATCAAGGTTCTCAATGACATCAGCGCCAGGAAACAGGAGAACATGTGCAGTAACGGTGCCCATATGTCCTACTCATATGAGAGATACAAGGAGGTCCTGACCAACGCTGCTACCAGGTTTGATGTCAACCACAAGCTTCTACCCCCTGGTAGATCCCGCAGAGCCAACATGGCTATGATCGACGAGTCTAAGGGTGAAGTCGGGCAACCTGATGGCATGGATAGTCCAACGGATGACCAAACTCATCTCCAAGCATTTGCGGCCATGAGGGACCCCTCTGTCCGGCTCCCCGACCAACATTGGACCCAACTTTCTAATACGGGCAAGAAGAATTGGCATCAATTTGATGATCACGACAAGAAGGTACTGATGGCATCCCAGCCGCCAGCACCCGCCGGTCGCCAAGCCAACGTTGCCAACAGCACGATGGACCCCCGCAGTGAAGCTGACCTTGCAGTCGGGGACACACCAGGACCATCATTGGATGTAAACCAGGCAGATACGACACCTTCAGTTGGCAAACCTGCGGCTTCCCCATCACATTCGGCACCCCAGGCAAAGGCAAATGACAAACACCCTGGGAATGTCCGTCGAATGATGTCAAACAACACAGGCAAACGGCAGGGTTACACCGTCTCGTTCAGCCCTGATACTGGTTCTGCCCCACCATCTGGCTTTGCCAAGGCCACGGGTGATGACATTGACACCAAGTTACAGGCCTACTGGTCCTCTAGTCAGATGCCTGTACGTCGGCCTGAGCCTGAGCCCGAGCCGGATTTTTGAAGGGGCGATCTGTTTATGTGCTGAGCAGGTCCAGCCCCAGGAAACCAGGCACCACCCATGCTCGTGGGGTAGCATGCCACCTATCTTCGGAGGGGCTACCTTCCGCGGCAATTGGCAAGGAACGACCAGTTACTGTGCTGGACCGGTCATCTCCAGGGCATTCCAGCACACCCGGTTCTGTGATCTACACTGTTTCCAAACATTCCTGGTCCACGCTCATATGGCGAGCCCTCATGGACCGAGGAGCCAATGGCTGCATCCTTGGCAAGGATGTCAGGGTTATTCACCGCTACGGTCAATTCATTGATCTCAGTGGCATTGATGACCATACAGTTCAGAACCTCCAGCTTGCCACGGCAGCTGCTTACATCCTCACAGACCATGGCCCCATCATTGGTCTGATACACCAGGGTGCTGCCATGTCCCATGGGAAAACCATTCTCTCCCCAGGTCAGTTGGAGCATTTCGGGTGCCGTGTCCATGACAAGGCCCTGACTGTCACCGGGCTCGACCCTTACTTTGTGACCCCCAATGGTTTCAGGGTGCCCATGGCCATCCAGTCCGGGCTACCCTATGTCCAACTATGGCCACCTACTGACCAGGAGCTCAGTGACAGTAGTATTCCCCATGTGGACCTCACCAGCCCTCATGCCTGGGATCCCTCCTGTCTTGACTCTGTCCCTGCGGATGACTGGTTCCTTCAGCAGGACAACACCCTTTACAATGATGGGGAGTTCCCACTGGACCCTCTTGGGCGACTTTGAGTATTTGATGACGACTTCGTTGACCACTCTGACCGCCAGAACCAGTCCATTGATCGTCGTGGCATCATGGAAGCCATGGCACACATCATCTCCGACGAGATTGACCTTCCCCCCCTCATGGAGCGAGAATCACACGGTTATGACTCAGACTCCTCGGATGACAGTGATGGTTATGCTTCTGATTCTGATACTCCATGGCAATGCCATGTACAAACCCGGGCCCAACGCCGGCGCCGGCCCACCCCTTAGGCAGCCCCTTTGTCATCAGGTGCCGGGGAGGATTGTTCAGGACCACCTTCAACACAAGCTAAGCCAAAGGTTAAGACTGTATCGGACGACGCGGACACGGAACCACTTCGGTCCAACAACAAGGCCAAACACCACACCGGTCTTGAGTTCCCACCCAAGTCCAAGAAGGTCAAGACTCAGAGCACCGCCAAACTCAGGAGGTTCTTCCCAGGAGTTACCGATGAGACTATCAAGCAAACTCTCGATGCTACCACTCAGTATGGAACCAAGGGCGCCCCTCAGGGAAGGACACTGAGAGGCCAGATCGTGTCTCCCAACCCCATCCTGAATATCCCAAGATGCCACGAAGATGTAGCCACGGATACAATCTATAGCAGCACGCCAGCTATTGATGATGGGTCCACTGCAGCTCAACTTTTCATTGGCAGGACCTCCCACTACAGGACACTTCGCCCCACTGGGAGCTCTGATGCCAGTTATACCAGGAATCTGATGGATGAGATCAGGAAGCTTGGTGCCATGAACAGGATACGGTCCGACAATGTTCAGGCTCAGTGCAATCAGAGGGTCAAGGATATCTACAGGACCTTTTGCATCGACGACTGGCACTCTGAGGCCTACAAGGGCAACCAAAACTTTGCTGAGTTGGGCTGGAGAGATACGAAAGCAAAGATCCAAATGGTACTGGACACCCAGGATGTCCCCTCTGAGTGCTGGCTCCTGTGTGGACAGTTCATATCCGCTCTACAGAACCACATCGCCCTGGAATGCCTTGGTTGGCGTACACCTTTTGAGTGGTTGTTCGGTTTCACACCGGATATCTCAGCCCTTATTCAGTTTGAGTTCTATGCGACGGGATACAGCTTACAATTCAGCTTTACAGCTTTATAAATTGCGGGCCTATTCTAGAAAATAATCAATAACTGCTCACTTATTTGGAAATACAAACTTTACATCTCTTAGATCGTTAGATTAATCAATCCACAATGGTATTGTCGCATGGTAGCATGCGAGGTTATGAGATGTTACTCATTCTTATTCTTATATGTCTATCCCTTATGGTTGTCAATGGAATGAGCTATCCCTTGGTGCAGAGTCCTGAGTTTCCTCTCATTATCTTCATCGGTAGTCCTTCCCCTTATTGCAACTTAATCTGTCGATTGGATCCATATGATCCCTTTGTCGATACCTTGGATTCGCTCGCAAGCAATCCCCTTTTTGTTGATTCGCTCGTAAGCAATCCACTTGTTCCCCTTGTTCTTTATCCTGTTGTCGATCGAAATCGCGATGAGGATCCTATTATCTTGACGACTCGGCTTGTGTGTCATGCATTGAGTCATGCTTCCGGAGCCACTTTACCCCCTATTATTGGCCGTTCCTCCGGTTGCTGGCTTGCTGTTGCAGTCGGTCGTTTGAACTGGCTTGCAGTTGGTCGTTTGAAAGATAACAACGCGCTGTCGCTGTTAAATTTAAATTTGAATTTGCCAAACAATTCGGGGTGGGCCTCAACCTCAACGTCAGATCCAACTGCTCATTATCCACCGCTCTCCTCCTCCTGTTGCCATTGCTCTTGTTGCCATTGCCGCACTGTTGACCTTGTTGATTTTCACTGCCTCCTATTCCATCAGCTATTAATGGACCTTGACGACGCTTCCTTATCTTCAGCATCCTCTTCATCATCAACTCCTTCAACAGTACCAGCGCCATCCTTGTTCAGTCCACAGGGATTCAGACAAGCCTTCTTTGAATCTGATCCAGTCATCCCACCATCTGATCCTC